CGGGAAAGCCATAGGCACATCCGACGGGAAGGAGAGGATGTTGTGTTATGGAGACGCTGGAAGCTGGGAGGCGTTTTTCTGAACCCACGTCCACTGGAGAGAAGCAGGGGGTCGGGGTGACGGCCACTGGCCCCCCCCCCCCCCCCCCCCCCCCCCCCCCCCCCCCTCTTGCAGGAGAGGCGGTGCATCTGTCCCCGGCGGGGCGGGAACCGGGATTCTTTCCCAAGGACACTCTTCCGTAGAGGCTGCGCTGGGGACTCCTTCCCGACGGCGCAGCGCCCCCTTCTGGCTGCGTTAGCGAGGTTTCTCCAGGAATGTGCCCACGCAACGGGTGTTTACATTCAGGGTCGCTTGCGGTTGAAATACCGACAGGGTTTTTCAAGGAACTTGGTAAGCTGGTTCGAGAGATTTCTGTGGAGGGGCTCAGGGCTCCAGCCAAAGAAGCAGGGAGAGGGGACTTTCCTTCCAGAGATCGAGACGCGCTAGCGCTCCCTGGGTGAATGCCCTGTGGCGTGGGCATGGGCCCGTGTCTGCAGACCCGCCGGCGGCCAGGCACGCCCGGCCCGTCAGGGCAGAAAGGCCAGCCCACGGGATACAAGGCCCGGGACGACCGGTTCCCCAGGCGGGAGAACGCGAATCGGAACCCCCTCCTCTCACCCTCCACAAAAAACACGTCCAGGTGGATCAGACTCACAATCAGCAGGACGCTAAAACCTTTCGATTTTTTCCCCGAAGTTAATTCACTTACTTTGAGAGAGGCAGAGACGGTGTGAGTGGGGGAGAGGCAGAGAAAGAGAATCCCAAGCAGGCTCTGCGCGGTCAGCATAGAGCCTGACGCGGGGCTGGAACCCATGAACCGTGAGATCATGACCTGAGCCCAAACCAAGAGCCTACGCTTAACGGACTGAGCCCCCCAGGCGCCCCTCGAACAAAGCCTTTCCAAAGCGAGTTAGGAGAACATCTTACGACCTCCCGGTAGACTACTCACACGAGACCCCATAGGAGCAGAAAAGCAACACATCTGGACTAATTCAGAGTTTCCATGACTTTGCTGCCAGGATGAACGTTCAGAGTCTACATAAAGAATGCCTGCAAGTGAATGCGAAAACATAAACAATCTCTAGAAAAAGCAATAAGGGCCTGAACAGGCACTTGCACAGCAGACAGGAAAAACACCCCGTCTCTTCGGAAACACAGGAAGCGCCACAGAAATCTCGAGGGTCCATGTTCACCAGCTTCTCACAAACCGTCAAGTTGTGACGTCAATTCCAAACGTCGGAGAGGACGCAGGGGAACCAACACTGTGTGTCTGGTCTTGGGAGTGCCGGATGGCGCCCTCATTTTGAAAACAATGTAGTGTTTGCTGGGGATGCTCACACACATGCATACAACCACCCACTTGTTCCTAGGAAGTTCCCCCAGGGAAATGCGTGCAAATGCAAATGCAAATGCAAAAAAAAAACAAAAAACCAGCCTGGAGCTAGAGACCCCTGCGTGCTCATGCTCACGCTCATGCTCATGCACTCAGATGATGACGTGCAGGCTTCAGGGGAGCCAGGCCAGAAAACGGTGCGGCAACCACAATAAACCAACCACAACTTCAGAGGTCTACATGGACGGACCTCAGAAGTCACCTGAGCGAAAGAAGCAAGTTACAGAACCATCTGTGCAGCACGTAAACATAAACTGCGGTCCAGCACCAGGAAACGCAACAGATATATTTATTTAGGGGGAAAAATATATATGAACGCAAATGCGTGGATAAGTGGAACACTATAGAGAGAAATATGAGACTAACGAACGTAAAACCCAAGAGAGTGCGTGGCTCGGACTGGGGCCACGGAGGGGTCTTTGATGTACCCGTTCCCCTCTTGTGTGTTTGTTTGGTTTTTAATAGGTTTCACGCCCAGCGAGGAGCCCTGTGCGGGGCATAGGACCCATGACCCTGAGAAAAAGACCTGGGCTGAGATCACAAGCCGGATGCTTAACCCACTGAGCCGCCCAGGCGCCCCCGTGTTGTTAGTCTTCCCACCGTGCACAATTGCTCCACCTGCTCTCCTGTGCGTCTGCTGTGCCTCACAAGGCGCCACGGCCTTTTCCCCTTCCCGGGGTCCCTTTGGTAAATCCGCTCTCCTCAGGACAGGTGGTGGGTGGGCCTCCCCTGTGCCCACACCGTGAGGTTCAGGAGCAGCCCTAGCTCACTGTGCATGCACGGATCCTGGTGCACAAGTGTTTGCTGAATGACTGAATGAGCACGTGAAGAAAGGGAGCAGTGAGTTGTGAACGTGAATGAAGGGAAGGGTCACCAAAGGGGACTCTGGATGTGGCCGGAAGGGGGAGCCAGAGCCCTAAAGGCCAATCACAGGAAGAATCAGGACTCACAGGCCCCACCGGGGAAAGATGCGCACTACCTCTCCTATGGGAAACCCACCCCCTGAAACTCACCGGTGGCCGTCACTCTGAACTCTCGCTTTTCTCCAGTGGACGTGGGTTCAGAATAACCCCTTCCTCCGTCTCCTCCATAAAATAGCATCCTCTCCTTTCTCTGTCAGATCTCTGCCTGTAGTTTTGCTGGAGTTTGTAAATGCCCAACTGCGATTCTGTCATTCCCAAATACACCAATTTTTGCTAGTCGAATAGACTGTCTTATTATTTTTCAGGTGAACAGAGTGAAGGGCCTTTACCGGTTAAGAGGTTTCAGCCATAAGACGCGGCGCCTCCCAACGGGGGGAGACTGAGGCAGGCATAGCCAAGATGTCCGTGGGCCTCAGCAAGGGTCCGCGACCTGGGAGGTCTGGATCCCTCCGGCTGCTGCACCTCTCTGCAAAGGCATTCCTCTGCCAGGACCCAGGGCCAGGCCACATGTAGCACATCTGGAGCCCTCCTCCCCTCCCCCCCCCCAGTCACCCCTAGGTTCCCAGAGGCCCCTCCCATGGTGAGTTCCTGCCAGGAGCCCCCTTTCGTGCCCCCCAGCCCACCTCCCACTCAGGAAGGACGTCTCTGCACCAAGGAGGGAGGTTGCGGCCCCGGTTCTGTCTCAGAGAGAACTCCCTCTCAGGCTTCGTCCTGGCTGCCCCCTGCTCCCTGCCTGCTTTCCTTCTCTTCCGGGACTAATCTGGGCCCTGGGCCATGAGCCCTCCCGCATCCAGGCCTCCACTACCCTGGCCCCATCCTCTCCCGGCTGGTGGGTCTCCGTCCGAGGACCAACCAGAGCATCAGGGAACCCTGCTTGGGCTCAGTGTGGGGAGGTGTGGGGGCCGGGAGGGGGGCCAGCACAGGGTGGGCGGGCCTGTAGGCAGCGCCCCGGCTGCCCTTTCTCGCGCTGGGCTCCCTGTGGGCCGCCTTTGTGTCTTTCTTTTCAACTTAATCTGCAGGCCTCTCCCTCCTCTGGGCTCTCCCGGTGGAAGAAAGGCCTAGAGGGAGGGGCAGGGGGGTGCCCGCAGAGCCAGAGCCCTGTGCTGGCCACACCCGGAGACTCTGCTGGGGCCCAGCCAGACGGGGTTGCGAGCAGGCTGAACGATCTCCGGGATTCCCACCCTTTCTGCTGTCGGGGTCCAGAGCTGAAAGAAAAGCTCCTTCACTAGGCCAGTGACACCAGCCTCTCAGCCTGGGCAGCATCCCAGCCCAATTGTTCCTGCTGGTTCCAGCCAGCCCGGGTGCTGCCCAGACCCCGTCCCCATCAAAGGCCACCCTTTGGCCACCACACCCCTGCCCCCAGTCACTGGCGCTCGGGGTGGTCTTGCCACATGGCTCCCTGCTGTTACACGGCTGGGATTCTTGGTGCTGGAATTCCTGTTTTGCCTAAGGCCCAGAGTGGGGGTGGCTCCTGGCCAGGGAAAGGGGTGACGCTTGGCTAGGCTGGCTCACAGGGTGCCTAGGGAGAGTTAAAGCACAGAGGCCAGACGTTTCAGGGGATTAAGGGCAGAGCTGAGGTCTAGGGCTGGCTGAGCGCTTCCCTATCCCAGTCAGCATCCAGGGACCTGTTGGCGGACAACCAGGGCTGGGAGATCTTTTCCCTTATCTCCTTGCCCGGTGCACAGAGGACCCTCCTCCTGCTCCCCACCCCCTGCCCTCCCCAGTCCAGGCTTCTGGGCACCCCACTCTCCAGGCAGAGGGGGTGTCAGGGATGGGCCAGCCCCTGAGCCAGGAGACTGGCACTGGTCCGTATGAGCTTGGGCTCTGGTCTCTCAGTTCACTGTAAGTGTGACCACCCTGTCCCTTTCTCTAGGTGTGTCCTCACCTGTCACCTTGGCACTAGGGCTGTGTGTGGGATAGGTCTGGCTTCATGTTGCTTGGCTGCCCAGCTTTGAGCCCTCAGCACCTTGAGGGCAGGCCCAGACTGGGTCACTCTGATGTCCCCAGGGCCTGACTGTACATTTGCAGCTACCTGCCGTGTGGCCTACAGCTGGGTCAGCACCACTGGCTGGCTGGCCCTTGATTTCATGGAGAGTACGGCAGGACCCCAGCCGGGACCGGTGCAGCTCCTGTCGCTAGTGGTGGCTCCTTCCGTCAGGATCGGGCCGGAGAAAAGCTGGCCACTCCGGCAGCCTGGCCCTCTGAACGAGGCTGCCTGAGAGCCAGCCCAGCCCACCCTTCCAGGCCGGGCCTCCTGCCGAGACTCTCCTGGAGAGGGCTGGGGTTTCTCTAGGTCCTGCCCAGGGGAGGTGGGGGGAATCGCCCAGTGCCCACAGGCCGACCCTGGTAGCCAGCACGAGGGGTCAGGGGGACGCGGCAGAGGGGACGAGTGTCGGAACTGGGCGCACAGGAAGCAGGAGGTGCTCGATAGCCCCGACCGGGGGCGCTGGGAGGGGCGGCGCGGGTGATTCAGCCGACACTTCTCCCACCTGCGCTCGCGGGGCGCGGGCGGGCGGTGGGCGGGGCGGCCAGTCAGTGGGCGGTCCTGGTCCGCCAGTGGGCGTGGCCAGCCGTGGCCTCTGTCCGCGCCCCGCCCTGGGCGCCTACCCCCGGGCCCCGGGCCCCCCCACCCCCGGCCTCCAGCTCCCTGCCGCCCCCTCGACAACGCCTGGTGCGCCCGCGCGCCCGCCCATGGCTGGGAAGGTGCTGTCGCTGCTGCCGCCGTTGCTGCTGGCCGCGGCGGGCCTCGCCGGGCTCCTACTGCTGTGCGTCCCCACTCGAGACATCTGGGAGCTGCCCGCCCTCAAGGTGCACGCTCGGGCATCCGGCGCAGTCCGCGGAGTTGCGGGCCCCGGCTGGGAGGCTTGGACCCGAGCAGGGCCAGGCTGCGCTCCCGCGGCAGCCGGGGACCCCCACCCGCGCTGCGCTGCGCTCCTGGCCGGGCGGGGGGTGGAGTCCCGGGAACTCCCCGCTCGCGGTGCCCGTCGCGTACGTAGCCTTGTCAGGGACGCGGCCGAGAAGCTGTCTCTCCGCTCCCCAGATGCAGCCCCAGGACGCCCCAGGCTGCGGCTGGACCCGCCGCCCCCAGCCCTGTGCTGCGCCCCGGGGATGCATACCCTCAGGGTTCAGTCAGATGGGGTGCGGCGGGCGTCAGAGCCTAGGGACCCCTCCCACCCACCCGGCGGCCCTGACAGTGCGGGGTCTGCCCTTGAGGGGCGCCCGGTGGGAGGACAGGCCCGGCTGGTCCTAGAGGCGTTGGGGTGGGCTAGGCCAGATCTGCTCCCGCCAGGCTCCTGCAGTCCTGCCGGCTCCCTTGACCCTTTATTGGACTGGTAGGCAGAGAGCTTTGCTGGGGGCATGTGGGTGCTCCAAGCCAAGCCCCAGCAGCCCAGGATGGGAGGTCGCAGGAGTGGGCGCTCTGTAGCCAAGGGCCACAGCTTGGGGGCTGCTGACAGGCTGGGCGGCGGTTAGCCCGCTGATGCTGCTGTTCCCGGGGTTGGGGAATGGGCCTGGAGAGGCCCCTTTCCCCTGCTCAAGAGGGCACGGGCTCCAGTGGGGCTCTCAGTGCTGGGAGCCTGGCCCTTGGAACTGCAAGGAAGGCCCACGTGGCCCCTCTCAGCTCTGCAGGACCCAGCTCAGAGGTGCTGGCCTTGAGGCTCAGGGAGGGGGCGAGGCATGCTTCCACATCCTGAGGCTGGGCTGAGGTCAGAGAGGTAGGGACACAGACGTGGAGAAAGCGTGGGTGCAGGTGTTCCTGCAGCTGGGTTTCTCTACTGCAACCTGGGGACCTCACGTCCCTGGGGCGTTTCCGAGGGTGGTCCCGGGACTTTTCTGACACTGACACAACCCTTCAGCTTGCCCTTGCCAGGAAAGTTCCTGCAGTCAGAGGAGAAGAGGCTCCTGGCTGTCTACCCCTGCCCCCATTCTCTCCCCTACCGAGCCGTGTCTCTGTGGTCGTCCCTGCCGCCTGAACCCCAGTACTTCATTCTGGAGGTTCCAACCTTGCCACGGGGTGGGGGTGGGGGGAGACCCGGGGAGCCAAGGGGCGTGGCCTCAGGTCCCCACCCTCACCCCCGTTCCCAGTACGGCATTGTCCTGGACGCGGGCTCTTCGCACACGTCCATGTTCATCTACAAGTGGCCTGCAGACAAGGAGAATGACACAGGCATCGTGGGCCAGCACAGCTCCTGTAATGTACGCGGTAAGGCCCCCCGCGCCTGGACACCCGCTCCACTCACTGTAGGGCCTCAGGCGCCCTCTCTGGCCTTAGCCTCTGAAGCCAGGCGCCTTGGCTCGGTGCCACTGGGGCCTGCTCCAGGAAGCAGCCGCAGGAGCCTCCAAAAGAGGCTGGGACCTTGGGCCTGGGAGAGGCCACAGGCAGTTCATTCTAGAAGGTAAGCCTCAGGCAGTGACTGGGAGGTTTGGGCTTTGCCTGGCCCAAGACTGGCACACCCAGGCAGGCCCCTTGGGAGGCTAGGCCAGATTGACAATGCCTAGTGCTTTATCCTGGCACCTGGGCCCACACCCATGGGCGGGCAGCAGCCTTAGAGACTGGGTGGCCCAAAGGCAGGTAGGCCCTTTTGTCTCTGAGGGCTTAAACTGGGAAGGTGTGTCCAAGCTGCCACCGGGCTTGGGAGCCCAAGGTCCCCAGCCCTCCCGGCCCATGGCTCTTCCAGGGGCTGGCTGTCAGGCTTGGGCCCATCTCCCTGTCCCCCTCCAGGAGGGGGCATCTCCAGCTACGCAGACGACCCTTCCAGGGCTGGCCAGAGTCTCGTTGAATGCCTGGACCAGGCGCTTCAGGAGGTGCCCGAGGAGAGCCATGTGCACACGCCCCTCTACCTGGGAGCCACAGCAGGCATGCGCCTGCTCAAGTGAGTGTGCCCTTGACCTTCCTGGTCTCCACAAGAGCCTCAGCATAGGGTGGGCCCCACACACCCTCAGCAGCGGCCCTGAGCGGGGACCCACGCTGCCGACCGGCCACACACGGTGCACCCCAGCAGCAGGATCTTGGCTCCCTGGCGAGGATGGCCCTCAGAGTCCTCCCTGTGTTATAGCCTGACCAGTCCCGAGGCCTCGGCCAATGTGCTCGCGGCTGTGACCCGGACGCTGACCCGGTATCCCTTCGATTTCCGTGGTGCCCACATCCTCTCGGGCCAGGACGAGGGGGTGTTCGGTTGGGTGACGGCCAACTACCTGCTGGAGAACTTCATCAAGGTGGGCCCGATGGTCAGCCCAGCGAGCCAGGGGGCGTGGCACCCACCCACCAGCTGACCCCCACCCTCCGCTCCCCACAGTATGGCTGGGTGGGCCGGTGGTTCCGGCCAAGGAAGGGGACGCTGGGGGCCATGGACCTGGGGGGCGCCTCCACACAGATCACCTTCGAGACGGCCAGCCCAGCCGAGGATCCAGCCAATGAGGTCCGGCTGCGGCTCTATGGCCAGCACTACTGCGTCTACACCCACAGCTTCCTCTGCTATGGCCGTGACCAGGTCCTCCGGAGGCTGCTGGCTGGTGCACTCCAGGTGCCCCACCACCCCTGGCCCGCCTGCACCGCTGTGCCCTCCTGGAGGGAGGGGGGTGAGAAGAGATGGGAGCTGAGGGTTCAGAGCAGAGACTGGACCGAGGAGGGCTCCTCCGGCAACAGGAACCAAAGCTGGGTTGTAATCAGCTGGCAGGATAGATGCGGAGGGATCCTTCCTGGGGAAAAGCCAAGTGGTGGTGGGGTGGGGGGAGGGGGTCTGGTGAGTGCCTGACTGGGGGGAAAGGGGGGCCAGGGCCAGGTCTCCAAAGGCCTGGATTTTGTCCAGCAGATAAAGGGAAGCCATAGATTGCTCCTGAGTGCAGAAAGCGATGTTGCCCAAGCGGGACTTACGAGAGAGTCAACAGGCAGGGCCTCTGGGGAGGCTTTCCAAAGGCCCTGGGCAAGGGGTAGCGGGCAGACTCTGGAGGAAGAGTGATGCCTATCACAGCCCTACATTCCCCTAGACCCACGGCTTCCACCCTTGCTGGCCGAGGGGCTATTCTACCCAAGTGCTGCTTCAGGACGTGTATGAGTCTCCGTGTACCGCGGCCCAGCGGCCCCAGACCTTCAACAGCAGCGCCCGGGTCAGCCTGGCAGGGAGCAGCGACCCTGCCCTCTGCCGTGGCCTCATCTTAGGACTCTTCAATTTCTCCTCCTGCCGCTTCTCCCGATGTTCCTTTAATGGCATCTTCCAGCCCCCAGTGGCTGGGAACTTCATGGTGAGTCCAGGGGGTGGGAGTGGGGGCGGGTGCCCTGTGGCGTGTGGGGCCTGCTCATGGGGAGACCGTACCCCCCTTGCAGGCCTTCTCTGCTTTCTTCTACACCGTGGACTTCCTAAGGTCTGTGATGGGGCTTCCCGTGGCAACCCTGCAGCAGCTGGAGACAGCTGTAGTCACCGTCTGCAACCAGACGTGGAGTCAGGTGAGGCCTACTCCCGCCTTCCCCGGGGTTGCGCAGGAGGCCCCGGTCAGCTGGCATCATGCCTCCCTGAGGCCCGACCCTAGAACCGAGATCTGGAGGACAGAGCGAATAGCAAAGGCCCCGTGGCAGCAGGGCGCACAGAGGGAGATGGGGTGGGGACTGGTTGCAGCGGGAAGGACCGACGGAGTTTAGGGGTGGGGAAGCCAGACTTTGAAGACAACACCCAGGCTTCTGGGGCCTGCCACCGGTTAGACGCTGTTACCAAGTAAAGGAAGAGGAAAGCGCTTACTCAGGCGGAGTGTCAGGTGTCTGCCAGACCCCGGGAGAAACACAGTGTCTGTGGGCTCTGGTGGTGACCGAGGCCCCGTCCTGTCTTCTCTGGGTCTAGTCGCGGGCAGACTTAGGGGGCGCGGGGAAGCGGGGGACAAAAGGCCAGCCCAAGGTCCATGCGGAGGGCCTGGAGCTTCTCCTGTTGCCCTGACCACGGGCTAAGGTCGCTGCCAGCCTGCTGCGCCCTGGGTGGTCATCCCTGCTGTGCCCCCCCCGGGGCCCACCTCCAAGGCAGGGGTGTCCACTGCCATCCATCCACAAATCATACTGTCCTTCCTGGAGGGCACAGTCCTGCCCTGGGGGGGGGGGGGGAGGAGGTGGCCCCTCTGGCCCCTCACTGCCCGTGCGTGTGTGTTGGGGGAGGGGTGCGGCACGCCGCCGGCCACCGCTCCTCGTGGGCCGGGACCTCCAGGTGGCGGCCGGCCCGACAGTCTCGCCCGCGCGTCCCAGCTGCAGGCTAAGGCTCCAGGGCAGCGGGCCCGCCTGCCCGACTACTGCGCGGGGGCCATGTTCGTGCAGCAGCTGCTGAGCCGCGGCTACGGCTTCGACGAGCGCGCCTTCGGAGGGGTGACCTTCCAGAGCAAGGTAGGAGCTGGCGGGGGTGGGGGTGGGGGACCCCCGGGCCGCGCGGAGGCTGAGGCCGTGCCCCTCGCCCGCAGGCCGGGGACACCGCGGTCGGCTGGGCGCTCGGCTACATGCTCAACCTGACCAACCTGATCCCCGCCGAGCCGCCGGAGCTGCGCAAGGGCACAGACTTCAGGTCCTGGGTCGCGCTTCTCCTGCTCTTCGCCGCCATGCTTCTGGCCGCCGTGGTCCTGCTGCTGCGCCAGGCGCGCTCGGCCGGGGCGTCGAGCGCCATCTAGCGGCGGGCCGGGTCCCGGCTCCCCGTCCCACCCGTGACGCCTCCGCCCCCAACGCTGCTCCGGCCGAGACTGGGGGCCGGGCCCACGGGGGACCGGGGTGGGCGAAGGGAGCCACCTCCGGCCCCTGCCTGCCTGCTGCAGCCTTCTCCAGCCTCCAAGGTCTCCTGCTCCTCCCCGCCCCCCCCCCCCCACTTCCTGGGGGTGGGGGATTCAGACCTCCCCGGAGCCCTGGGCGGGTGACTTCAGGACTGGGTGTCTAGGGACCCCCACCCCGCCCTCGGGAGTCTGGGTCTGCATCGGGGCGGTCAGAGCCCACAGGCTGGGAACGCAGCGCTTCCTTGTGACAATTTTGTAATAAAAGCTTCTTCCTAGAGCAGCGGAATGTTCCGAGGGTGGGGCCTCCTTGCTGCTGCCTGCCCTCCCTCCCTCCCTCCCCACAGCTATGTTGGCCAGGAAGGCCCGCTGCTGGTCCCCAGGGTGGCCCCGGGCTCCTTCTCCTTCCTTCTTCTCTGGGCCCGGACCGGAGCGGTGAGGGAACCCTGGTTCCCTGGTCCCCTGCTCCCAGTGTGTGGCCTGGAGTAGCTGTGGGGTGGCCGAGCCAACACAGACCCCGTGTCCCCTGAGTCTTCTCCGGCCAGCAGTGCCCTTGCGGCACCTCCAGATCTGCATCAGTGACCCAAGCAAGATTGGAGCTGGGCCCTGGCCTGGAATTGGCCTGGGGGTGGGGGTGAGGGCGGGGAGCGTGGAGGTGGTGGAAATAGTGGGCAAGGCAGCTGTCTGGCTGCAGTCAGTGCTGGAAGAGTGAGGGGGGCGGTGGACAGACCCTCGGCAGGGCAGGAAGCGGTGTTGGGGGCTGTTGTGATCAGGACCAGGAGGGCCGTGGGGCCCATTGCTCAGAGAGACGAATCCCGTGAAGAGGCTGGGCTGTAAAGCCCAGGGGCCACCACACTGGGACGCGGCTCCCTTCCTGCCTGGGTGTGGTCTTCCGCACCCCCAAGAAGCACCAGGTGCCCCCACCTGCCGCTCCTGCAACCTCCTCCCCCAAACACTGTTGCACTGTTTGTTAATTTAATTTTTTAATTTTTCCCCAGCATGGGAAGGCCTGGTCTTGCCTGTGTCTCCCTGCCCCCAACCTTTCTAGAAAGTGAGTGCAGACACCATTTCTGTCTGGTCATTGCCCTGAGGGCAGCGCTTGCTCTGGGGTTTTGAGCCATTTCACGAGCCCCCCCCCGAGGGCAGCCAGCCCTACCTTTGGGATTGTGACACAAAGGGCTGAGAAGACTCATCGGGTGTGGAGGCTCACCCCTGTTCTCTCGGCAAGGTGAGCCGGAGGGAGGTTTCCAGGTGGCAGGGGTGGCTGTGCTCTCTGGAGGCAACCGGTGCGCTGTAAGGGTGTGCATCCATAGGTGCGTGCTGCCTTGAGGCCTCGGGGAGCTAAGGGCTGTCACCTAGGGACCGTGGACAGCTCCCAGCCGCTCCAGGTCGCTCTTGCCCCCTGGCGGCCTCACTGAGAGCAGCCGCCCCATTCCCCCGAGCGGTCACCAGCACCCGCCTGGTTCTGCGAGTGTCTGCTGCTGTCCGTGTGTCCCTGAGGGCCCAGGTGCGGACGCACCTGTCCACCCGTGTGCGCCTGGTGTCCCTGTGTTCCTGGGGCTCGCGCCTCCAGGCCCAAGGCAGGTGCCCCCCTCCAGCGGGGCGGAGGTCGGGTGGGCATTGACGACAGAGAGGGGACCCGAGGGAAGTGTGTCCCGCGGAAGCCCACCCCAGGCCTAGCCGGGTTTGTGGAGGACAGAGAAGGCCCCCGGCTGCAGAGGCCACAGAAGTCGGGGCGCCCCGAGGCCCCGAGCGAGGAGGTGGAATCGGAACTAGAGGAAGGGGGAGGGGGCGCAACCTGGAGGCGCCGGCCCGCCCCCGCAGGTGGAGCGCGCAGGCGCACTCCCCGAGCGCCTCCCGCCGCCGCGCCTGGATCCCGGATCCTTTGCCGCAGCGTCAGCGCCGCCGCCGCCGCCTCTTTTCCGCCTCCTTTCCTCCTCCGTCTCCGCCTCCGCTCCCTCCTCCTGCTCCGGCTCCTCCGCCTCCCGGACGCGGCGCCCGCAGCCCGCGCCGAGCCCCGGGCCGCGCGGTGCCATGCTGCCCCGGCGGCGGCGCTGAAGGATGGCGACGCCGGTCCCTCCGCCCTCCCCGCGACACCTGCGGCTGCTGCGGCTGCTGCTCTCCGGCCTCGTCCTCGGCGCGGCCCTGCGCGGTGCCTCCGCCGGCCGCCCGGGTGA